AACTTCTCGAGTTAGACAACTAGTGGAATTTTAGTTTTATGGGTCTGATTTTTCTATTTCATTTGTTTATTAGCAGAAATGGTATCATGCAAAGAATATTCTTCTATGTATGAAAGAGTCGCGTTATATTTCTTTGATAAATCTATAACGTGGGAAGTTTTTTTTTTTTTAAATCCAATCATGTAGTTAACATTTGTTTGTTTGTGAGTTCGTGTGGTATAAATTTCCAATATTCTTAAATAAGCTTTGAGGTTCATGGAACCCAAATTAAAAAAGAAAAAGAAAAAGGATTCTAGGTTCTTCTCGTGAATGAAAAAGGAAAGCACTGGAAATGCTTTATCCTTCAAATAGGTTTTATTTGACTTGACTGTGATTAATGGAGATTCAATTCAACGCATGTAACTTCTACAGACCAGATGATTCAATTGGTGAAAAAAAATCCCTTTAATATTGAGTTGCAAGAAAAATGCGTTAATCGTCTACAACACTTGTCATACTTCAATTAAAGAATTTTGATAATTGTAATTGCAAATGTTTTTTTTTTCCACTTAAGAAACAAAATTCCTAGGAGGAAACTTGATCCACATAACAGAATACACTGAAAAAATGATAAAAAAATTGTTGACAAAAAAAAAAACCCCTTCTTGCCACTGAATAAAAAGTACTGTTACGGTTAAGTAATGATCACACTAACGTGATATTGTATTCCTCATGTTTTCTTGTGATCACAGATCACTGACTAATAGCCACAGCTACGACAGGTTTCATAGCTCAAAAGGTGCAAAACAATGTACTCATAGGCATTTGACAATTTTAATGTTACTAGCACAAGAGCCTAAACAGATAAATCATTTCAAAAATCCAGCCCATCAGGTAAGAAAATTTTTCAAACTTATAAATTTAATTTCATTCATAAAACTTTTCCACATGAGACTCATAATACATTCATTTTGACATCACCTTTTTCACTGGTTCATTACCGAGTTTACTAGAATCATGATACTCACAAAATACTTTATGAATCATGACTCTCATGACTAACATCAAATCCTTGCACCGACTATATTACCCTCAACCTTGTCATCAACCTGTCCCCTCCTCCAAGTTGATGTCAACCTCAATCCCATCCCGTTTCCGCTCTAATCAACCACGTAGCAAACAGGTTCATGGTAATTAGTATTCCTATATCCATTCTATTACCTTCGTTATTAACAACCAAACACGTTTATTGTATTTTGAAATATAAGCTAACCCTTCATCAACCGAACCAATGCAAACGTGTGTACATGATTGATAACCAAATGGGGATCTAATAATAGAGATGATCAAGAGATTAAGAGGAAGCAAAGAAGAAGGAAGTGGGGGAATAAATGTCAGCAGTGTGGAAGGAATATGCGAGCATGTGTTGATTAATTTTGCACTTGTTGCGCCTTGATTCCTCTTTATTTGTCTCCATGTTCTCTTGACCTATAAAGTCATTCTTTCTTTCTTTCTTTCTTTTTTTTAATTCCTTTTTATTATATCCCCCATTATACATTTTTTCATTTTATTTAATTCCGATTTCATTATACACATTTTCTTCAAATAATTTACACATTCTATATGTTGCCTAATTAATCTCCCACCGTCATTTTTTTTTACCCTGCTTCGAAATGATTATTAACCCTGTCCACTTCATATCCATGTCTTATCAGATCCCACTTCAATAATTGTCTTTATCACTCGAACTGTTTTAAATACGGGACTTTTGTCAATTTGAGAATCTCATTATTATGATACACGATTTCGTTTTATTTTATTCTGCTCCATCAAAATTTTCATTGCGCAATAATTACGTACGAACTTATTAAAAAACAAGTAACTGATATATTCACATCCGATCTCAGCATTTAAAAACGAATATGAAACATGTTCTGAATTAAATTTGTCTCTCGGTCGTTTGGCTTTAATTCATGGTAAACAAATACTATAAATCTATAATTAATTAAGAATTGAACAGTTTTCTTTGATGAGAGCAAGAGTATATATGTAAAACAAAAGAGATATAGTAATGTGAATGGTAAAGTAAGTAAAAGTGGGGATGATTCAGGTGAGCTTTAGGAAGCAAAGACGAAAGAAATGACTTAATTTCAAAGTTACAGTGAGTTAAAGCATGATACATGGTGGCTTTATCTTTATATCTTGTCCCCAACAAGCATGATTAAGTGTCCCTAAAAACCTTAGCTTTAGTGACTTTATAATTTTGGTGTGTCTAGCAATTAAACTTTGAATTCCCCAAAAGACAACAAAATCTGGTTGTGGCATTGCTAATCCAAGACATAATTATGGTGCCCCTCTAAATTGCAACACCCCTTTGAAGAAGAAGCACAACAACTTGTAAACATCAGAACCTTTATTTGTTGGCTGGACATAGATCTACATCACCCTATAGTACTTTCACCTTAATCATGTACCCCATGTTGTTCCTATTTAATTTCCTTGAATTCATTCCAATGTGCTTCATCAACTATTACACAAATCATTCATCTAGCTGAATTCATTGTGGTTCTTCTAACATGCAGAATAAATCGAACTGGCGTGATGGTTAAGGATCCTAATATTTAAAATGACTTATTGATCAATATCTAAATCTTAATTTAATTTTGAACATGAATCAAATTTAATTAGGAATGATCTATCCTTTAAATTTTCTCTTAATTAATAGAAAAAATTACATACAAGTTTCACACAGGAAAATTAATTATTACAAGATTTCAACTGACATTACACTATTAGAAAGATGTAAATTAGTAAGAAAATGTAGCAATGGATCTTTTACTTCTCTCTAAAATACTAAATTAGTGAAGAAATTTGTAATGAATGTTGATTATGCAGTTTGACTTAAAATTAGCCAGAAAAATAGTAAGGAACTATCAATCTCTCTCTAAAATAAGATAATTAGTGAGGAAAGTAGCTAAAGATTACTGATCCCTATCTAAAATAAGACAATTAAAGATAAATTATCAATTTCTTTCTAAAATAAGATAATTAGTGAGGGATTTAGCGAGAAATTTTATCCTTAAAAAAATTTAACCTTTGGCATTACTTTTAATTATACATTTAATTATTTTTATTTAACAATAAAAATTAAATTTAAAATTAAGTAAAATATTCATAATAAAATTGTTTAATATTTAATATTTTTTATTTTAAGTTGATTTTCATTAATGAAATAATATTTTATTAAACATATAATATAAAGAATAATTTAAATAAAATATAAATATGTTTAACATATTAATAATTGAAAATAAATTTAATATGTATATATGTGTATATTTTTATAATATATTATTTGACATATTTATGTAGTTGAATAATATATATTTAATTTTTTACATAATGATTGCAAGTGCCTTCTAATTCAATTGACAAAAAATGAGAGCATAAGGCATGAGATCAAAAATTTAAGTCTTATCTTTGGCATAAACATAATGAATGCGTGACATGATAACGAGCAAGTGACATGGCGTAAGGTGGATAATGGCATGTTACGAGTTGTCACACATGTAATGGGTGATAGGGTATGAGATGGTAAGTGACGGGCGATTGACGAGACACAAAGTTGTTAGTAACATGTTACAAGTTGACACACATATAGCAGGTGGCATGACATTATCATTTTTAAATATAAACATATTTAGTAAGGGACTAGCAAGGGATTAATCCCTAACTAAAATTCTTGAATTTTGAATAGTATTAACAAGGGATGTAGCTTTCGTTAAAAATTAGAGAGAGATTGAATCCCTTTCTAAATCTCTCGCTAACTAGCAAGGAAAATACGATCTCTCACTAAATTTAGCGACTACAAATTTAGCGAGGAAAAATGACATAGTTTTAGTGAGGAAAAATGGCATAGTCCCTTGCTAAATTCCATTTCTCTAATAGTGTAAAGTCATTTATAGAGCTGTAAATGGCCTTCTATTAGTTGATAATGAATTTTATAATAATTAATTTTTTTGTGTGAGATTTTAACGTAATTCTACTTAGATAATATTGTGAAGGACAGATCTTGCTGGAACCCTCAAAAACACTCTTGGTTACTAAAAAGTATGGAAAAAAAATGGGACGGGAAAATCACCCTCAAATTAATATCCATTTATCTCAACCTTCTCTGGCTGAAAGAATCTAATTTGATATTTCTGTTAGAAAGAATCCAATTTGATTTGGTATAAAGTTACCTCGGATTTTATCTTATATTGGATAGTATACATGCATTGCGATAATGAAAAGAAAGGAATTTTTATCCTTGGAGATTAGAATTCAGTACAAGGGCGGTTTAGCTTGCCATAAAAAAATAAATTGCCAATAAAGAAAGTTGGATATAAGTAATTCCTTTAGTATTAGTACACGTTTTAACATGGTTGCATGATCACAATGAAAATGAAAATTAAAACTATAAGCGTGACACATTAAATGGATATACTGACCTAAATATGATTAAATTAGGGGTCACAATGAGATTTGATAAAAATAAGAAATAACTTTTTTTAATATTTATTTCTATTGTGTTAATTTTTACTGTATAATAATTATTGCATATTAAAAGCATGAAATTTTAACCTCAATTAAAATATAGTAATTTTGTCTGAGACGCGATGATACATTAAATATAATATAAGTTCCTGTAACCAAAGGATTGTGTTGGTATTTTTATTTTAACAAATGTATCATTCTTACTTTTTTTTTTTTTGTTTGACATGAGAAAAGAAGAGCCACAATTCCTTATTTGCGGGCCAAAGTTTATGTAAATGAAATGGTATTACCCTACAAACAAGTTATTCCAAACGGTAGAATCACCCTACCATTCTCGTCCTCCTCCGGTTGTATTCTTGAAAGGGAAATATGTATGCGAAGAAATAAAAGCCAAACAAAGTCTCAATTTCCCTTGACTATTTTAATTTCCATCTGCATCCTAAAATCCAAAAGAAATTTCGTTTCCACTTTCTGAGACATTTTATATTGAAAAGAAATCCTCCTTCCCTCCCTCTCCGCAAAAATCATTGCTCGCCAAACCCCAACGCCCCCACACAACCCAGCAACAATAGCATAGGGCTTCGTTCCCAATCCCTCTCGCTTACTCACACTCTCTCATTGGATCTGAGTTCTAAGCCAAAAACTCGCCTGGTTTCGTCCCCTTTCTTGTCCGATCCCTTCTTCCTATTGCTTTCGCACCAATTTACTCTTCCTCAGCGCACCAATAGCGCTGCAGATCCAACCCCAATACTATAGCTCTTACTTCTCAGGTATCTACTCCGACGAAATCCCATTCTGATCTGATCGATTTCTGGGCATTTTCATTCAAATGGGAATGCCCAATAAACGATGAGCAGAGCCGGGGACGAAGAGGACGAAGACGAGTGCTTCTACGAGTCCCACGACCGATTAGTTTCCTCATCGTGTTCTTGTTCCACTTCCAACTCCGACGACGATAATGACTCCTATTCCAACTCTCCCAATTATGTTGCTTCGACCCAACCATTCCCTGTCCCCAAATTCCCAGTCGCCATGTCCAAGTACGATATATGGATCTCCGAACCCTCCTCGGTGTCGGAACGCCGGACCCGTCTCCTCCGCGAGATGGGCCTCAGCGGCGACCCATCATTGTCACGGGGAAAGCCTGCATCCGCCGCTGATCTTAGAGAAGTGGGCAATGGAGAGTTTGGGCGATCGGTTTCGTCCGATCACTTGAGCCATCAACAACAGCCCGCAAGTTCCGGTTGCTCCACCGGCATATTCCGATCGAAATCAGACGGTGCAGCGGATCGCAGTGACTTGTCTGTGTCTGGTCAGTCTCATGATCGTTGTAATATGTCTTCTTTTTGTTCGTCTTCTTCAATTCTTTCGATTCATTCGGTCGCGCCTGAGACCGGTTCATTTGTAAATAACCGTAATGTCGTCGTTAAGTCAAGGGGAGTTAATGGTAATGGATCACCCGTTGCTAGTGCCGCTTCCCTTAATAAGCCGCCTTCTGGGAAAAATTGTAGAAGGGTGGATGAAATTCAAAGCGAATCCTCGAACTTGAGTCTGGATTTCGGTCATAGTTTGGTGGTGTCCGTTTCGGAAATTGCTGGTGGGGATGTAGAGGAGGTTGTGGACTGTAATGGGGTTGACCGGGTGAATGAACAAGTGTGTACGATAAGAGATCTTGATAATGGGAAGGAGTTTGTGGTCAAGGAGGTCAGGGAAGACGGAACGTGGAGCAAACTCAAAGAAGTGGGGACTGGAAGGCAGTTGACCATGGAGGAATTTGAGATGACAGTTGGACACTCTCCAATAGTTCAAGAATTAATGAGACGGCAAAATGTTGAGGAGGGAAATAAGGATAATGTAGATTCTAATGCGAGTGGTGGTAGTGAAGGGGGTTCCAAGCCAAAGAAGAAGGTGGGTTGGTTTAAGAGTATAAAGAGTGTTGCAAGCACCATGACGGGTTACAAAGAGAGACGAAGCAGTGATGAAAGAGATACCTCATCTGAGAAGGGTGGGCGCCGGTCAAGCTCAGCAACGGATGATAGTCAGGATGGTTCATTTCATGGGCCTGAGAGAGTACGGGTTAGGCAGTACGGGAAGTCTTGCAAAGAGCTTACAGGACTTTACAAAAGCCAGGAAATACAGGCTCATAATGGATCTATATGGAGCATTAAGTTTAGTTTGGATGGAAAATATCTTGCCAGTGCAGGTGAGGATTGTGTGATACATGTTTGGCAAGTTGTGGAGTCAGAGAGGAAGGGGGAGCTGCTGATGGAGAAAGCAGAAGATGGGAACATGAACATGTTGTTTGTTGTGAATGGGTCGCCAGAGCGAACTCTGCTCTCCCCTGCAATGGACAATCATCCAGACAAGAAGAGAAGGGGAAGGTCATCCATAAGCAGAAAATCGTTGAGCTTGGACCAATTAATGGTGCCAGAAACCATTTTTGCACTCACAGAAAAACCCATTTGCTCATTCCAAGGCCATCTTGATGATGTCCTTGACCTATCTTGGTCCAAGTCTCAGGTTAGCTTCTTTTCTTTTATGATATGTCTAATTCTGAATATGCATCAGTTCTTTCAATGTCTAGTTAGTACGATTATATGGTACTACTTTATCATGTTTTAGGCATACTCGTCTCATTTATTAACAATATATATATAGTTTCCTATATTATACTATTATCATAGGTTCCAGTGAAGGATGTGCTTAGACTGAGTTCTCTGCTTTTCTATCTATATTCTAAAGAATAGAGTTTCATGATTCACTGATATACGTTCTTGAGTGGTGGATAACCTTGAACTGATAATAATATGGATTTTAAGTTTCACGTTGGAATATTATTTATACTGTTGATGTTGAAGTTTTCTTGTATGCTCTCAATTCAATTACGCGACTAGCAGTTTTGTTCCTGCATGTTTTTCCTGAAAACAATGAAATAATGTTTCATACATTTTGTTAGGGTTAAGGCTTTTGTCGTTTTGCTGTCGGTCTCAGTTATGGGTGGCATTTGTTCACTACCTCCAACAGTGCTTGTTATTGCAACCCAGGTTTTGGGGTCATTCTTGTTACTGTGGTCCCAAGTTTTTTTTTTTTTAATACGAATCCTAGTACAAGTGAAAGTTCTGGTTTCAGCTAGAAGTGGAACTTCCCCCCCCACACAATTCTAGTTTGGTTTACAATTGGTTTCGTAGCCCCATGTTGTAATTCTAAACCTTCATTAGAAAGGCTTTTGACAACAATGTTAGATAGCTTGCTTGTTTAATTGAACTCGATGGCTTCTGGTGTTGGCCATGTAAAGATTCCATAATAACTTCTGATGAATAGTGAAATATTCTATGCGATGGATATATCCAGTATGTCAATAACTGCTACATTGAACTATAGAAATAATGATAGTGGCTGTAGGTTTAGGGAACTGAAATGTTCTGTTTAGGATACCAAAAAGAACAAAAAGGTGTTCAGGTCCACAACTCCTGTGTGAAGCTTTTGTTTGTATCTTAGTTGGATTATTAGCTTGTTGATGTTTGAACTACATAACGGTTGGGCTTAGCTTGGTGTAAGCTTAAAATTTTGGTCAATTTGTCGGTTTTCCCTTTGTGAGCTTTATTATCTTCATAGGAGCGGAGGCTTACCAATATATTCTATCATTATCTACTGTGTTTTCTCCTATTGTCCTGTATTTAATATTTGTTAGAAAAAAATGCTTGAGTCTCAACTTAGGACGTTTCCTTTTAAAGGCTACAAAATTATCCTTTTCTGGTGCTCAATTTGATTTTAAATACATTTACAATTTTGTTATTTAAGCGAAATCCCATTTTTTGTACAATTGAAATGATTTTGACAGGTTTAGAATCTTGCACCCGTATTTATGGCTTATCTTTTATACAAGTTGGTAACATCCAGGAATTAGAATGATTGTATTTCAAGTTACTAGATCTTAGATGTGATAGCAAGTTTAGAACATGTGATTTAAAAGCTCCAAGGGATTTATCTAATTATTTCTGTGGAGATTTTCCTGAGCTACTCTGTTTATCCCAAGTGATATTGTCATTAAGCATTGCTTTATCTTTAAGAAACGTGGGACAGTAGCTTGTATTTTTAGATAATTCTGGTAATACATTTTCATTGTCCCTTATGATCAGCATTTGCTCTCATCTTCTATGGACAAAACAGTGCGGCTGTGGCACTTGACTAGCGAGACTTGTTTGAAAGTTTTTTCACACAGTGACTTTGGTGAGTACATGCAGTTATTATGTCTTAACGTGCCCTGATTTTTGTTTTCCCTTGTTCTAGTAGATTTCATATACTTACATGCGCACTCCCTTCTATGGAGTGCATATTTTATCGTAGCATGGTGCTTCACTGTGAAACAGTTTGGAATATTTTAATGTAGAATTGAATTTTTATGAGTTCTTTCACATTTATTAAGTTGGTTAAACTTATAAATGAAAGCAGTTCTATTTCTTTCCCATCCTCTGTTTCTTGCTAATATATACCTTTTCCTTCAATCCTTTTCTGGCTGGACACAGTAACCTGCATCCAGTTTAATCCTGTTGATGATAGATACTTCATTAGTGGATCACTGGATTCTAAAGTTCGCATATGGAGCATTCCTGATCGTCAAGTTGTTGATTATACTGATCTACATGAGATGGTCACTGCGGCTTGCTATACATCTGATGGGCAGGTCGTCAATGGTTAACATGCATCATTTCAAGCTTCCAAAGTTGACTTTGTAACTTGTAATAAAGTAAAGGTTGCTGGTTTTTGCAGGGTGCATTAGTTGGTTCTTACAAGGGTAGCTGCCATTTATATGATACATCTGGTACTTTTAGTGACTCCTCTTATTCTGAATTTTAGGCTGCATTATGATGATTGTAAGATCACTGATTGTAATATTGTTTTCAAATTTCATTCAGATAATAAGTTGCAACAGAAAAGTCAAATCAATTTGCAGAACAAGAAGAAGAAATCACATCACAAGAAAATCACTGGCTTCCAGGTATATAATGGCTTAATAGCCGTGTTATATGAAATCAACATCAGCCACTTCTGGTTTTCGAGAGGGAAAAATAACAGAAGAGTGCATGAGCTGTTATATTTTCTTTGACTGTTAACCCCGCAGCTAATGTTTTTCTTCTTGATTTTTGTGAACAGTTTGCCCCGGGAAGTTCTTCGGAAGTACTTATCACGTCTGCTGATTCAAGGATTCGGGTGGTTGATGGTGTTGATCTGGTCCACAAGTTCAAAGGTAAGATTGAAACTTATATTAGTAAAAATAATATAATGAGTTAGGATATCAATTTTTAGTAAATTATTTTAATCTGAATGGAGGTTTTTGGATTTAATACTATGATATGATCTGGTCATAATTTAGACTATGTATGGTTTTTCTGGTTTAGTTGGGAGAGGTCGAGTTTATTATCAGTGACTTCAGCTACTGAGTTTTCTCCTCCAATTGATTCTAAGCAGTAAAACTATACTGGCAGCAAATGTCAAGTAGTCTTTGCATTTACATAGTTTTTTCTTTTGGTTATTATTTTGTTTAGATATTGCAATATTCTAAAGGCAAGCATTTGTTTATACTCTTAATATAGTTTATGCATCCATGTTTTATCGCTGTCATATGTTCTAGGGTTGGTTGCGGTGTAGTGTGGAGATTTCTTTTGGGGTGAGAATTTCTTTATTTGTCTCATTATTCTTTTCTTTCTCAGTGAATATCTTTTTTCTAGCTTTCTTCAGGTTGATATGAAGTTTGTGTGGATATGGTTTGTTCACAATGTTTTCATTCTGGTTTCAGTTTCAGAATAAACTGATGTTAGTGCTGTGCAGGATTTCGTAACTCAAATAGCCAGATTTCTGCCTCTCTCACAGCAAATGGTAAATATGTAATCTCAGCAAGTGAGGATTCCCATGTATATATATGGAAAAATGAAGCTGATTGCAGGCCTAACCGGAGCAAAGGTGTCACTGTAACACAATCTTATGAACATTTTCACTGTAAAGATGTTTCAGTGGCGATTCCTTGGCCCGGTATGGGTGATGCTTGGGAAATGGCGGATACTTTCTCTGGAGAACAGACCGGGGATGATAATATTCTGGATGATGTCATGTCCGCCAATCATCCTCCTACACCGGTGGAGGAAATTTTTGGTACTGATGGTTCACAATCAGCATCAGGATGCACCAACAGTCCTCTTCATGGAACGATTGCTAGCACAACAAACGATTACTTCTTTGATAGAATTTCTGCGACATGGCCGGAAGAAAAGCTTGTTGTAGCTGCAAGGAACCGAACCCCTCGTGTCAGCACGGATCTCTCCAGCGGGGTAAGCCAAAACATGTCAGCCTGGGGTATGGTGATTGTAACTGCTGGCCTTCGAGGGGAAATTAGAACTTTCCAAAATTTTGGATTGCCGCTTCGGATATAATGAAGAGGTGATAAAGAACGATGGGGAGAGAATTGGATGGATGATTTTCATCTCAGAAGGTGGTAGATTTCACTTTCTCCATTAGTTGAAGATTTGTACAGAGAGATATTGGGTGAGATTTGTAATGGTAGAGGGGTTTCCATTTCCTTCCTTGCCTTGTGCTTATCGGATGAGGAGATAGGTCGCCACTCCGGTTGGTGCAGGAAGCGGGAAGAGAAATTGTTAAAAGGAAAAAGAGAAAAAAAAAGAAGAAAAAAAGTACAGCAGGAATTTAGAAACCGGTTGGGTTCATGCAATCGGGAAATGTAGAGTAATGAGAATGGGAAAAGCTTATTGAATTACAATGTCAATGAAGATTCTTTCACACTAGTTTGCAGTTTTGTTGTGTAATCGGGAATGTAGAGTAATGCAAGGGCACAGCACAAATGGAGGTGTTTGAGAATATATAGCAGGAGACATAACATGCCTCTCCATCTTTGCTGAAACTAGACACGACATTTTATTAGGGATTATCGATCTGCAATCTGTAAATGATTAGGAAGGTGTGAGACAGTAATAATAGATGTTCAAGTTGAAGAAATTAAATCATCTCCATCAGTAATATTTTCATCAACACTACGGAATTAAAATCAGCTGTGAGAGGGATCGAACCGGAACAATTTATCGAGTTGTTTGATAATTAACATAAAATGAAATAAAACACAAATGTATTGGCCATAGCAAGAATGAAGCAATTAAACTTGCTGATGCTGTTGCTTCTTTCTATGTAATAACACAACGAATGGCATGGAATTAAAGGTGTGATTTCATTCCTTTGCGTCTATCAACGATAGGTTATAAATAATCTGAAAGAAAGACGAGCTTTGGAGATGACAAAAGACAAGAGCATGAATATGATGAAAGGGAGTACCTGGCTGGTTTCAACTTCAAAATCAATGACGAGAATGAAGAATGCAGAAAGCCAGAAATCAGACGAGCAATGTTTCTGTTGTGGTTGAAATGGGAGAAATGGGATCAAATGCCGTTAAGGACAAAACATCAAAGAGCTAGAAAAGGCTAAAACATCAATCACATGTCCTAGTTGACCGGCTTATCTAATTTTAAGGATCACAGGTTATTTTTGACTCTATCATTTATACTGTACAAGGTACAGATAAATAATTGTATTATTGATAAACGAGAAAATATCGAACTAAAAAAAATTCACGTACTCAAAAAAAAAAAAAAACAAAGAGAAAAGATCTATATAATAGGTCAAATCATTTATAAATCACATATACATATACATATATATAGAACTTTTCAGCAACACTAGAAGCCACCTACATTTAACTTTTTATAATTCTCAAGTGGGCTAGATGGGACACAAGTTGGTACACAATTTTGAAAACAAAAATTGAGACAGGTTGCCATTTATCAAGAGTTATTAGCCTAATTGATAAGGATGCAACTAAAATTACAAGGATGCGAATTTAAATACCACTCTTGATGTGAATACTGAAAGATTTATTTGCAAGTAATTTATAGATAGCGAGATTTGAACCACATTTAGAAATCAGTTGCTGATAGTATCATCTTCTGCACATTTTAACTCTTGATATGGCCTGTGGCCTCTTTTGCGGGTGCTGCTCTCTAACTCAATAGTTTTCCATTATGTGTCCCTCTCAATGAATGAAACATACTTTGCCAATACTGACTTCGTTAATCAACTCAACCAAAGTGAATTATCAGTATGTTTAGTTACACCTTTGCTGTCAATACTTTTTGCATGCACACTCAGATGACGTACCGGGAATTGAACGCGTGACAAGCTGGCATACTCTATGAGTAATCACCAGAAAGCCACTAAGGTAACCAGGTTTGCTGTCAATACTGCAGCATGAACAATATGTAAGAAAAGCCACCCCAACAATTTACATTCAGAAGGAAACTTGACATTATGAGAGAACATCACAACATGAAAACAAGCTCAAAAGCAAGAAGAGTGTGGGGGGGGGGGGTGATTTTGTTAGGTAAGGATGAGGATGAGAGGCTCACACGTGATTGTAAGGCTGCAAGACCATCTTTTTTCCTTTAATTTACATTCCAAGCCCATAACTCATCATTCTACAGAACAGTTAGTGGAGATGTAGGTCCTATTCTAGTGGGACCTAGCTCTATGGCTATCATAAAAGACAGCGTAATGTAATATGTAAGTACTTAGTGCTGGTCCCAATCCATCCAATTAGTCTCACTTCCAACGCGAGGAATGCTGTTTGAGTCTGGTGAACTTGTCAACCTTGAAGTGGGCCCCACACATGACACCTTCACTGTCAATCCTTGGCATTGCCTTTACCTTATTCATTGGATGCTAAAAGCTCATCAGTCCTCCTTCACTGTGAAACATACGCCCTGCACAACATGCAAGTTACAACCACCACGTTCATCTCTATCCATTTTCCGTTACTTTTCTTAGAAGAAATTGAATATCTCTAGCCAGCCCCTTACACATCCTTACCCTGTACACTAGTGTGAAGTGAAGTCAAGAGAGGAAGACTACTTAAGGTTACTTAAGTTTATATATCAGTAAGAACAGATCAGGTGGACATGTAAGTATGGCTGTCTTAGTCTACTTATCTTCAGTGCACCGAATTGTACCTGCTGGGAAGGGAGCAAAGGATTTGGCACACCCCTCTTTTATGACTTCAAGATCATCAGAGATAACTACAGATCCATCTGCTGCGATTCCCTAATACAGCTTCACTCCACCATCTGAGCTCTGAAACCAACTTTAAATTATCTTTCTATATCCCAAATATTTCCAGCCTTCTTTATGATCTGGTTGGGTGTAGGCGCAGATTAACTGGTTGCTCTGGCAAACATGGTCTATGGAAGATTGGAAGGCATACCAGCGCAGCGAAAACGCTTCCAACCTTGCTGTCATAGACAACAAAGGCAAAGCTGCCATCAAGATCCTTCACCACTTGATCTGCAGGGTAAGGACCGCTGTCTCTAAGAGTCTTGTAAGCTTCAATCACAAACCTGGCCTCGTTGGTCCCCTTTGTCAACCCATATTGCTTATTGAGAACGTTTAAATTGTTCAAGCTCCCTAGGAAGAGACAGTATATGTCGTCATGCCCGCCGAACAACCTTGGAATGTGAAAATTTCAAAGTGGAGTTTCTGCATCTGAAAACAAAGAACAGAGGGAAAAAAAAAAACCACAAGGATCTTTGGAGAGAAGAAAAACACAGCGTGGGTTTTCTCCAACCTAGTAGAAGAAAATTAAGAAACAGAAAAAAAGCAACGATCTTTGCTGGATATAGCAGAAGAAGAAACGAGACAGAATGGGTTTTTAATGTGGGTGTTTAAAAAAGGAATTTTCATGCAGGGTTGATGTGGGTGTTTAAAAAAGGAGGGATGTTGCGAGAATCCATGGTTGAGTCAGTTTGATTGAAATGTAAGCGTGGATCCTCAACATACCCTCCTTGAATACATCCCTTTATATCTAATCATAATTATTTATTTAATTTAATAGTATCAAATTGCTAATTATAATATTAAAATAAATAAATTATTTACCACTATTACTTAAGTGCTTTTGAGAATAACTTTATAATGCTTATTGATAAAAATTATTAAATGAATAGTATATTTATTTTATTACCATAATTAACACTTTAACATCATTAAATTAAATGAATAATTAAATGGATAAATATAATTGGTTATGGAGGAATGTATTAAGAGAGGTTATGGAGAGGATCAAAGCTAGATCAAAAAGCGAGATGGGTAAGATTGAAAAATTGCATTGAGTCGGTGTGGCTTTATCTTTGGAAAAATCATAATCAAGGACCACTTGAGACAATTAATTATATTATAAAATTAAATAATTTTAATATTATTTTACAGGATCAAAGAACCTAAATATAATTAATATTTGTTGTGAAAAGACAAAACTATCCTTGCTGTATATTTGTTGTAATGAGGGAATTAATTATTATTAGAATGAAAATGAGCCTTACCTTTCTTTAAATGTATACTTGTTTATCACATCACAACAATTCCTCTCTACCAATCTCTACGAAGTTAAAATTTTGTAATTATTAATAAAGGAATTAATTGTTGGTAGAACGGAAAAAAGACTTGTTTTTTTATCAAATGAAGACTTACTCACCAAATCATAATATTTTTTTCTCTCCACTATCAAGTTAATTTTTTTGAAATTGTTAGTAAGGAAATTGATTGTTGTTAAAGTAAAAATGAAACATTTTTACCAAATTACAATACTTGTTCTTTTCCACCACTAAATTAATTCTTTGAAGTTGTTAATAAAGAAATTAGATGTTATTAAAATAAAAATGAGACTTATTTTTTTTTTCTAATGGGCAGTTGTTAAAAGAGTACACACACACACATGAGAGGTAGTTTTGTCTTTTTACAATAAATTTTAATTCAATTTAGGTTCTTTGGTCCTACACAATAATATCATAATCATTTGAACCTATAACACAGTTAATTATCTCCAGTGATATATATATATATCTTTGTATATGTCCTACATTGTGGTCGTCTTTGGATTCTCAATTGACTAGCATTGAAGTTTGAACTCCAGGTCAATGGAGGATTGAATAATTTGAAATACAAAAAATGGTGCAAGAAATTCAAGAACAAGAAGAATGCCTTGGTGAAGATTTTTCAACTAAGTTTCTTGGAATATATGAAAAAATAGACGCAATTTGATATTATTTGAAGAAGATTATTAGAGATAGATATTTCTTTTTGCTCCATCCAACAAATTCTTAATAACCTCAAACTCTAGTCTATAATCAACATTTTTAGCAAGGGAATTGAAAGATCTCAAGCAAAATGAAACCCTCTTGAAATAGGTTGTGTTAGACTTGACATTAACAATTCAACTAACACCAATGAGACTATTGCTTGTAAAGGCCTCACACTTGATGACAAAGGAAATCAAATTAAGGTTTTTTCTAAAAATCTCAAATATCATACAAGCATAATTGCAAAACTCATAAGTACTTGAAAGGAATCAAACTTTGTTGTAATGCGAAACTCACCAAAATTTACATTTATTTTAATTCTTTAAAAATACTGTCACTCTTCTAACACAATTTTTGCTAGGCTCACCCTCTCTCTAAAATCATCAACAAAATTAGATATTTTGTTGTAAAAGATTAAATGATCATTTTTAACTAAGTTTTTAAACAAGTGAATGAATATGTCGATACTCCTAGAGACAACATTGATATTGTGATATACAATGATCCCCCCTATTAAGATGCAGAAACCTAATAATTTTTTATATGACCTGATTTTTGCACACGATTTATCTATGGCCTTATATTAAAAAAAAAAGTTTGAACTCTAGAGA